TTTTTTTTTTTTTTTTTTTTTTCAGGTGCAGAAAGTGTGGTGTACGAAGGGGTTCTTGATGGGAAGAAAGTGGCCGTCAAGAAGCCCGTTTTGTCTACCTCCGGCGACCTAGATAAGTTCCACAAAGAGTTGCAGCTGCTCAGGTTGTCTTATCGTTTCTTGTCTGATTTAGCTGAAGTTTGTTTTTGGGTGGAAATTATAATAAACGGAGTAAAAATCTAATCTTTATTCGTTTGCTGGTTGTTTAATGAAGTTTCTTGCTTGAGCTGCTTAATCAGTTGATACTGCAAGTGGAATTTTCTTGCTGGACTGTGAACTCTTGAGCTTCCATGCCATTACATAGTTTTCTATCGAGCTTTCTTCTTGATCTAAGCTTTTTCGTTGTGGAGCATAATTTTGAATTTCCTTTTTTCTACCCTGTGTCTTATGTTATTGCTGAAGCAAGTTGAATCACCCAGGAATATTAAAGCTTGTGGCAGCACATGCTAGGCCGCCGAATTATATGTTTTTCTTCGAATTTTACGAGGCTGGAAATCTTGCGCGAAAACTGCATGTGGAAGAATGGAGTCCGAGCTTTGGTCAAGCTATTGAAATCTCTGCTCATTTAGGTATATGTGGAAAACTTTACCAGGATTGATTGGATGAAATGATTGTTATGTAATGGTAGTTAGTTTATTTTTTATTTTCTTGAAAAGCATGGCATTAATTTTTAAATGTCTTTTTGCACGATTTCTTTTGTTTGTAAAAGCAGCCAGTGTGTTCAGTGCTTTGAATTTGGATTTTGTGATCTTACACGTTGAGTAATAAATTTTTGAGGAACCATTATTATGACTTGATTCTATACCAATTCTTAAATTCCGATGGATTTCGTTCTTAAATTCTTCAGACCAATTCTTTTCCTTGTTCTTTTATTGGTGCTTGAATCGTTTGTTCAGTTTTGTACCGTTCAAGTACTTTTAATTGTTAAGAATTAACTTTGGATTCGTAAATAGACATTGTTCGTGCTTTCTATTTGCAGCACAAGCTCTGCAATATCTGCATAGCCTCGGGATTGTTCATAGGGATGTTAAACCAGCAAATATTCTTGTAATATCTTTTAATCTCCTGATTTTTCTGAACTAATAAAATCCATATTCAACTAAAATTTTCATGAAAGTTTGTTATTTTACCTGTTCGCATAATGTGCAGCTTAACGATAATCTTCTTCCTCATCTCGCGGACTTTGGTTTGGCCGAACATAAGAAAGACCTTCAACAAGTTTCTTCTAGAAACTGGAAATCCTCTGGCAAACCAACGGGCGGTTTTCATAAGAAAAATATGGTTGGCACGATTATTTACATGGCTCCTGAAGTACTGAGGAAAGAGGTTCATACTGAAAAATCAGATGTGTACAGCTTTGGAGTGACCGTTAAGTAAGAATTACTTTTTGCAAGTCACGTAAATAGCTTCATCCTTGCTGAATAAAAAAGTGTTTAGCTATATTAATGAAAGCATATTGTGAGTTTTATTAATTAAACTGTGTATTGCAGTGAGCTTCTTACTGGTGTAGTCCCGTATACTGATCTTCGAGCAGAGGCACAGGTTTTTCTGTTTTTCACTATTTGCTCATTTATTTATATATATATTTTTCGTTACCAGTTGAGGAGATATTGGAAATTTGGATCATCTCATACAGATTTACCAACATAGCTCTATATGTTGATAGAAATAAAGATTCGTTGATCGCGAAATTTTAGACATGATTCTATATACTCTGTTGCTAGTATAATAATGGAATGTGATGGATAAAAGATGAAGAGGAAGTGTTATTTAAATAAGATTAATTAACCAGATGAAAACGCTTCCATGTTGGAATCTTTTTCCGCAAAACGTACCTTACACCCTTACATTCTCCATCTAAAATATTTATTAAAATGTAAGTTCCAGTTCTAATGCATTGTAATCTAATATTGGGTATTTTACAATGAAATGTTTTTTCCTCCTTTTTTTTTTTTTTTTAATCTTTCGATATATCACCGTAAAAAACCAGAGTTAACAATGAAACTCTTTTGGCTATATTTATTCATAAGAAAAAAAAAACCCCTTTTGCAGGCACATACAGTCTTGGAAATGAACTACACCGAACAGCAACTTACAGCAGCTGTTGTGTCTGAAGAATTACGGCCCGTTCTTGCTAGTAAAAAAACGGGCGCATCAAATGCTTTTCTCTCTCTAATACAAAGATGTTGGGATTCAGATCCTCAGACTCGACCCTCTTTTGATGATATAGTGTCTGAACTCCATTTGATGTCAGAACGTAGAGAAAAAGAACAAACCTCTACAGAATCTGTTAAATCACATGACCGTTTGGATAAAACCGAGACGAGAGGCTATGAACCGACCCCAAATTGGTACTCGAACGGCCGGAACTTTCCGGATAATTCACAACTTTCACCCGAAAATGTGGGGCCCACGTGGCTATCTTCGAATGATGGTTCGTATAGTCCTATGTTGTCCTATGGATCCTTCTCAACTTGTGGGAGAAGGGAAACTATGGAGGACACGCACTTTATAGTACCAAAATTTTGCAATCGAAGTGATATATGTTTTTTCGGGATCTTGGATGGTCATCGAGGTATGTATTTATTATTATTATTTTTTTTTTTAACTCTAGCAAGCTAATGTCACAAGTTGTAATCTGTAATTTGGCATTAATTGTGAAGATACAGTTCAAAAAATGAAAAAAATTCTTTTACCACGCGCAGGTGCTGCAGCCGCTGAATTTTCGGCTGGGGCCTTACCTCGAATTTTGTGTAATCTAGTTTCCATGCACAGGTGAAAATCTTTTTTTTTTTTTTTTTAAAAAAAATCATGTTTTGCATGTGGGTTTAGTTAGTTGCATGAATATCTTGAAATACCGATAAAGTGCATTGGAAAAACTTAATCTTTTGCCTGTATACAGCCCAAATCAATCGCTGTTCGAGGCTTTTGTCAAAACTGATATCGCATTTAGGAACGAATTAAATTCTCATCGAAAAAAATCGAGGGCAGTTATTCAGAAGAACATGCACCCCGGGTGTACTGCAACTACTGCTTTAGTAGTTAAAAACAAATTGTTTGTTGCTAATGCTGGCGATTGCCGAACGATTTTATGTCGAGCTGGAATTCCATACGCTTTAAGCAGGGTATGATGGCATTTATATAATTATTTAATAGTTTTACTTCTCTGCTTCAGTCAAATGATAATTCTGAATTCGGAAAATCGCAATAAATATACTGAGCAAAAACGTGTTTATTGAGTTGCCTTTGACATTGTTAGTAATCTACTTTTTCGAGATTGAATATTTTTTACCAAAGCGACCTCACAATACGGTAGGATCATGTGGCGAGCTGTCTTGAGGAGAGAGAACGTGTCATAAATGCTGGTGGCGAAGTCCAATGGCGAGTCGACACGTGGAGGATCGGTCCAGCTGCTCTACAGGTTAATTGATCTCTTCTTGAAAATTGCACTTATTACATTGTGTTTATTGAACTTACATAAAGATCTATTTTTATTCAACCTGTAACAAATGAAAAAATGGGGCTGATCTATATTGTGGTTTTGTAAATCATAAAAGGGACATATTTGACTTCATATAAATGTACCTACCGATATTTATTCCAAGACTAGTTCAGATATATGCTCGAAAATCATTAGGATTTGGAAAAATTGTCAGATTTGCAGAATAATTAATACGTCCGACAAATTTTACGAAGTTTGAGTTATCACAACACGCAAATACGTGCACTCGTCACAAGCATTAATTATTATAACTTTTTTTTTTTCATAATATATAATTTGACCGAATATTCTTACTCCACAGGTTACACGGTCCATTGGTGATGATGATCTCAAGCCTTACGTAACAGCAGAACCTGAAATAACTGAAACTCTGCTTTCGGCCGAGGATGAATATATAGTAAGTTTTCGTTAAATCCGATTCATTTTCCTTCTACTGTTTGACTTATTCTTTAAATTTTCGCTTTTAGTTATTTCCACATTTACCATTTATGATATTGTTCGACTATTTACAAATGTAGCCGATAGAATCTTAACTGTGATCAGCAAATCCTAAAGCAGAAGTAAATAGACAGTGAACTCCATAATATATTTTCCCTTGCTTGGATTTTGACACGATTGGCTACAGATTAAAAAAAATATATATATATGACTGATTGAATAATATTTATACACTCTTTAACTTAAAATCCAACTCAACTCTCATAGATATTATCAATATAATTAAATAATACCAATCAATCAATCTCACAAATAAAAACTCAAAATCCGACTCAATCTTCCACTCGTTCAACTTTATTTTAAATCAACCCATTTTAACTGAAAATCCAATCGAAATGGATTTTGATTTATATCGAATCTCCCCCTAACATCTTCATGTCGACTAGTTCTTGATCCTTATCCTCGATAACAAATCTTAACGAATATTTACTAGTCGTAATTACTTTCTTGCCTTATTTTTTTTGCCCCCTTTTTCCTCGAGCAAGCACAACTTTGTCCCGAACAAATTTTACGACTGGATTTTTCTTTTTTCTCTATTTATTTTTTTATTCGATTTCTAAACTAAACTTCACGTTAGCTTTTTCCTATAATCGTCCCCTAATATTTTTCAGGTAATGGCGAGTGACGGGCTGTGGGATGTTGTGAGCAATAACGATGTCGTGAAAATTATAAGAGATACGGTAAAAGAGGCCGGAATGTGTTCGAAAAGACTAGCGACTGAGGCTGCCGAACGAGGCAGCAAAGATAACATAACCGTTATTGTCATCTTCCTTCGTCCTGTTTCGACAGCCGAGAGGATTTATTAAGCTTTCGAAAGAGAAATTTTTCTATATTCAGTTAACATTCAAAAAATTAAACTGTTCTATAGCCAAAAAAGGAAGAAGAGAAAAAGATTGCTCAACCTGAATATTAAAGATTATATGTTATTGGATAATTTGTTGATGTATCAATACATTATTGATTTATTAATTTGTTAATATTTTTTGAGTGATTGTTGATTTTGTGGTAATTACAATGATAATTGTAATTCAGGATATCCTGATAAGTGCATTAACAATACTAATTCAGCAAATCCTGATTTGTTGCCCAATCTCATCATGAATTCTACTTTTTGAAAGATTTATGATATGCAATCTAGCTTTATTAAAATAAGATTTAAGGAATTTTTAATTACTTGGAACCCAATAATGGTAAAAAATAAAGCCAAATTTTCCCAATTTTCGGGCATAGATCATACGCGCTAAACACGAGTGAAAACAAAAAAAATATTAGACGTGCAAACGTAGCGCGACGTGAGTCGTAAATACGAGTAAAAACAAAAAATATTAGACGTGCAAACGTAGCGCGACGATAAGTCAATTTGTAGTAAGCAAAAAAAACTCACTTTTGGAACAAAAATTTGATTTCATGTTGGCTTTAACTGCTTTTCAAACTATATTGCTCTAATTGCAAAATTACTAAATTACTATAAATTATTCATGCAATCTGATTTTCTCATTCTTGATTTCATTCCCGCTATAAATACACGGCCGATACAGAGAGATTGGATGAAAAAAAAAAAAAAAAAAAAAAAAAAAATTGCTCTTTTTTTTCCTAATTCCTTCTCTAATGGATCATCCTCCGAGCCCAACCCGGCCCAGTTCCGACACGGAGCACAAGGCCCGAGAGCCCGATCAAGAAAATGAAATCGGGTGCAAATATTGTGGCAGGAAATTCCCGAGCACACAAGCACTGAGGCACGAGGACGCGCACAAGGTCCAGCGTGCAGTCGAGAAAACCGAGCGTGAATTGGGTCACATTTTGCGTTTTGGGCCTTTCGGAGATAGCTTTAAGCCCAACCCGGCGGCCCACCCGGGCCTGTCAGGTAGATCTCATGACTTTCGGAGCCCAAACATCCGGTTTCCGGATGATGGGGCCGGGAGTTCAGGCTCTTCGAGGCCCGGGATGGATAATCCGGAAAATGATCGGAAGCCTGAAGATGATTCGGGCCCGGGATTAGTCCCTTAATAAGATGTGATTGGATTGGACTAGGATTTTTCTGTAGTTTTATAAAGTGGTGTATTGGTTGTATGCTTTATTTCTTTCTTAGTGAAATCAATGAAATAAAAAAAGTTAAAGATGTTTTCTTTAATTTTTCTATATGTTGATTGTTTGGTAGCAATGATTTAGTCTCACTTGTATTGTGTTTACATAATTTAGGTGATTGTTGTAAAAGTAAAATTGAGAAAACATATGGATAGAAAAATAAAAACAAACTTGTGCAAAAGTTTCCATTTTCTCAATTATGCAAATTCCATATTTAAGCAAGATTTTGTGTACAGTGATGATTGAAAGTAGTAAAATGATGTATTTTGAGAAAATCCTTTTTTTCTCCCTAAATTAGATTTTTAATTTATTTTTTATTGTAGAAACGAAATACTTTTACTTATTTTTGTTCGCTATATAACCCAATTACTCATTTTATCCTAAAAACTGTTATAAAATTTTGTTATATTTATAAAGATATAGTAGAACTATTCTCATTTCTGTATATAATGAAAAATATTTAGTACACGTCAATATTATAATGAAACTTTTAATTTTTATTATTTTATAAATACAGTTTGATTAAAATTTTTTAAGCATATACAATGTTAAATATTGTGTAAGCCTTTTGAATATGTTAATTTAAATATATTGATAAATGACTTATAGTAGCTCACTTAGCCTGAAGTCCAAGTCCGCTAAGGACTGAGTTAATTTGAACTTGACTTGTTAACTAAACATTTTCATAAACGAGCTCGAGTTCTATTCGTATATCAATATTAATGAGTTAAGATGAGTTAAAAGTTCAAAAATTATATAAAGAACTTTATTCTCCAATCTAACACTACTTATTAGCTACATGAAATAAAGCATCAACGAGATAAAGCAAACTCAAAGATTGACACTCATTTCACTCGCCTCTAAAATTTTTATTTTTTATTTTTTGGTACAAGAAAGGGAGGCAAAATCTACGCAAAGTCTAAGTTAAAACACTCCGAGGATAAGATACCCAATTCTATCATGATATAACCACATGATTACCCGGCGGAGGACTCGCCTACATATGCAGACCACCTGGGCCTTTTCGCCGAAGAGACCAAATAATCCGTCACACAATTGGCTTCCCGATATATATGAATAATTTTGCTCAACGCTTCTACAATTTTAATTGTTATCAACAAAGAGGAAAGTGCATTTTTCGTCCGGTAAGTTTACCCCTCTGAACATTTTAGTCCTCTTCGAATAGCCAATTTGAGTTTCGTCCTCTAACTTTGAAAAAAAGGTTGCAGATTCGTCCCCGACTCGCCGAAATCTCGTTAATTGCCGGGAAACTCGTTTAGAGGAGTAAACTTATAGGACCAAAATGCACTTTTCTCATCAACAAATTATCCAACCTTTGAGCATTTAAAAAATATATATAAATTCGGAATTGATAAATGTTATGGATTACTGCTAAATTCCAAAATCATTTGACCCACAAAAGCAGAGAGAGAGAGAGAAAAAAAAAAAAAAAAAAAAGGAAAGGAAAGGAAAAATCCAGACGAGATGACGACTCACAGTGCACCCACCATTGTGCGGCGGAGCGAAAAACCAGACGAGATGACGACTCAACACCAGCTATCTTCCGGTGTCTTCAACGTCGCCTTCTTCAACGACGTGATCCAAACCACCGTCACCAACGACCCGGCCATGGCCTCCCGGTGGATCTCCGGCGTCACATCCCTCTACGGCCGCCGCCGGATGGTCGGCCTCGACGTCGAGTGGCGGCCCAACAGTCCCAACCGCCCCGATAACCCCGCCGCCATCCTCCAGATCTCCGTCGGCCGGCTCTGCCTCATCTACCAGCTCATTCACTCCCCCTACTTCCCCCGCCACCTCGCCCAGTTCCTCTCGTTCTACGGCCACGATTTCGTCGGCGTCGGGGTCAAATCCGATCTGGAGAAGCTCAGGCGCGACCACCGCATGGGGTACACCGCGACTCCCGTCGATTTGAGGGGGCTGGCGGCGGACGTGTACGGGAGCACAAATCTGAAGAAGGCGGGGCTGCAGGAGCTGGCGAGGACGGTGCTCGGGACGAAGATGGAGAAGCCCAAGGCGGTAACGATGAGCCGATGGGATAACCGGTGTCTGTCGCCTGAGCAGGTGCGCTACGCTAGCGTTGATGCGTTCGTGAGCTTCCAGATTGGTAGGGTTTTGTATGCTCGTGCTGGTTTTTAGGTGAAATTGCCAGGTAAAATGTAGTTTCTTTTGTTTTTGAAGATCTTGTGCGCGGATGGTGTTTGATGAAATGCTTGAATCAGATACAGTGATTAATTCTGTACAGTGATCAAGCTTGTGATTTTGTTTCATTCTCTTTTATGTTTATAATCTCATTCAAAAGATTATACAATTGCTTCACAATTCATCATATACAGAACAAACGAAATACACGTTAGACAATTCACATTCAACAGTTTTGTTGAGATTGTAAGATATTATTAGAGAGCAATGTTTATACACTTGTCCATTTTTCCCCTTCTTTCAGTTTATGAAAAGGAATGGGAGGTTAACGTTTTTCAAACGAAATATTTACAAGCATGAGTCGACCCGTGAGAAAATGCGCATGTGGCATAAATTCCCACTGGAAAAATTCCTCCGGCGGCTCGTTTGAGCAGGGTACGACTCAGAGAAGCATAGTTCTGTGAAGTTCATTGTTGTTCCTCAGGGCAGTTCTTTTTACTGCCTTCAGAAAATGATGCTTCTCGTTTTCCGGTGAACTACAAAAGCAGTAGGACTAATAATAATATGGCCAGCAGCAAAGCCCATGAGTTGGAGGATAAGTTATCTGTAGAGGCTGCAAAAAGGGATATATATTTCAATCAAGATTCGTTAAAATCAGGAGAATTTGGGTGTTAAATAATTGCCAAGAACAAGACTATATATATATATACACACACTCTCTCAGAGACGAGAAAAAAAAAGCTCCTCGCTCGTACCACACACTCTCAGAGAGACGAGAAAAAATGGATGGGACATGGCCCAACTTCGGACGCGGCGGCGGTCAAGGGGGAGCCCCCGGCGGCGAAGAGCGCGGGCAGCAGGGCCGCGGCGGCAGTCAAGGGGGAGCCCCCGGCGGCGAATGGCGTGGGCAGCAGGGCCAAGGCGGCTGGCAGCCCCATCAGGATGGCGGGCAGCAGGATTGGGTCAGCAGGCCCAAACACTCCGGCCCAATTCATTTGGGCCCCTCTGGTGGAGGAGATCCTACAGGTACTCTCCATTTGGCCCAACTCACACATCGACCATCTGCAGGTACGAGTATGTTCCTATCTGTGTTTAGATATTATGATGATTGAATTGTAAGAAACTGTATTGATTGGGCAGATGCCGAGGAGAAGTCTCCAAACAGTCAGATCCAGCGGCCCGAAGAAGGAGGCGAGCCCATCAACGTTTTGGTGAATCATTTTCAAGCGAATATCTTCCATTTACAACCAATTTTTCAGTATAAGGTTCGTGTGCAGCGCATTGGATCAGATAGGAAGCGCATTGGATCAGATAGAAGGTTGAGGAAGTTTGAAAGGGCTATTATCAAGGATAGGCTTTTTTTTTAGAATATGGAGTTGAACAAAGCCGTGCTGAAATCGATTTATGATGGGGGACATGAAATTTTCAGGGCAACTCAATAACGCTGAAAATTTCATGTCCCCCATCATAAATCGATTTCAGCACGGCTTTGTTCAACTCCATATTCTCAAAAAAAAGCCTATCCTTGATAATAGCCCTTTCAAACTTCCTCAACCTTCTA